GGTCACCCGCCGCCAGCCGCGCTGGCGAAAGACTGGGGATCAAGCAATGTTTGGCCTTCCCAGTTCAGGCATTCCCGGGGCGCTGCTGGAAGGGTGGGAGAGGTGTTAGAAAGCCAAAAGCCCTCACCCCAAAAGCCACTTTCACTTTCTGTGTCTGAAGTTGTATCAGAATCAGTGTGAAGAAGGACGTGAATAACCACAGGGTCCTCCCCGCCAGCAGCCCGTTCATAACCGCGGCTGCTCCCGTTGGTACCACAAGAGGCAATAACATCCCAGGGCCGCACAGAAGCAACAGGGCAGACGTGCTGCAGGTGCCAGTCCCTGTTCCTACCCCAAACATACAATCTACGTGTTCGAATCAAGGTGTTTGCAGCGTATGGGCGCAAGATACTGACACAAGGTGCCCGTGCGCATCTGCAATCCCACCTGCACTAAAAAGCTGAGGAGAGCTTGAGAAGTGGCAGCTGTGACAAGGCAGCAGCTGAGCCACCCCCCCACATCCCTTCTTATAATACCTGTGTCCCAAGCAGAGTTAGTGCAAGCTCAGCACTCAAGAAACCTGCCTGAGTTAGGAACTCGACGCAAATACACAGCTCACCTGCAGAGGAACAGCTCGCTCATCATAAACTGGGGAGAGCTGTCTCCCTGCCCTGCTGTTCACTGCCCTTTGGTTTCAGCCTTGACACCAAAATCCAAACAGATCCAGCACACACACAGCCCTGACAGTGCCTCCTACTCTGCTGCTGATCTTTTGCCCTTTCTCTGAGCTTCCCATCACCCCACCTACCCAGAGGCACTTGGTGGGTCTCGCAATGCAGACAGATGTCACCCATGTCTTTGGGCTAATCTCCCGGTGTTTATTCTTGCTGTCACAACACCTTCTTGTGTCCTCGTTCCATTTGAGAAATAAAGGTTCCCTGTAATAACACACACATTAGCCAAGAGAGGAGCACCAGGATGAATAAGAGGTTACACCAGGTGTAGGCAGTCCACAGAGCAGCACGTTCTGGGTGGTCACTGAAGAAGGGAGAACGTCATGGAGAGAAATGCACCTTCCTCTGGGGACAGTGTCTGTTCAGGGTGCCCAGGGGGATGCAGCTCACTTGGAAGTTTTGGATGTCTGCTGGGCCTCTGAACTTGGGTGTGAACTGGTCTTTCTGCTCAGTACTCAAGAGGTCCTGTGCCCTCCAGGGTCGCCCCGGCTGTGAGTATTTGATCTGAGGAGAGGAAAGAGCTTTCAGCACAGGGAGTCGGGGCTGGGGAAGAGGGAGGTGGTCACAAGGAACTTGGCAGCCTCAGCATCTGAGCCCCATTACTGCTACCTGACGGGTCCCAGCTCAAGTAGCTCAAGAGCACACATAGAAGCTGATGATGTTACTGGGGAGGCTATAGCTTTTCTTGGTATAAACCTGCTTCTCTAAGCCACCCCATGGTAAACCCAAGGCTATTAAGGCTGTACCTGCTGCAGCATCTCTTCAGAGGGTCGTTGTTTCTTCTGTCTGTGTGGAACCAGTGTGGCCTTCATGGTTGAGACAGAACATTCGTCTGCTGACAGACAGAATTGAAATCAAAGTTAAATTCAGGCCAGGAAGTTAGGAGACAGTATCAGAAAAGCTTTGCAGCTTGACTTGCCGTCACAGATCTGCATGCATCTCATTAATGAGAGGAAAGGACAGGCTCTGCTGACAGCACTTGGCTTGAATACTTTTGCCCAGACAGAAAACAGTTCTCAGGGTGAGGAGGTAAGTGAAGAAGTTCAGATGGCAGTCGAAAGAATATCACTCCATAGCATCCCATGCTAGTTGTGGAGCCGCTCCAGAAGTTTGGGGCCAAGGAAAAGATCAATTCAACTGTGATCCATTCCACATTTAGTAAAACAAATGGCTTAAACCCAGATACTTGGCACAAAGGGACCTCTCTGCTGCAGAGTACTGGCCGTCAGAAAGGAGGCAGTCAGAGGATTTTGACAATGACCATGCCCAGCTCTAACCACATCCCCCCCTGAGGTTGCATAAACACAGAAATCCTCTCCTCCCTCCCACATACACTTACAAAACAACTTCTAAAAACACATGTAGAAAGGGCCTGCCTGGTTTGGGGGTAACAGTCTCATTTTACTAAAGGTGTGTTGCTGCACCAGGGCCTTCCTGCCATCTCCAGCTCAAGCTACCTGAGCTGCCTCCCTTCCCAGAGCACTGCCATCCCTTGCACAGAGCTAGGAGAACCTCAGCAGGCTTCATCTGGCACCACGACAGCCTGAGCAATGTTAGTCTTACTGTGGCAGTGGAAGGGGATGTGGCTCCTCCTGTCTGCCACCACCCTCTCGCTCTGCCGGGGTGGGTGATAGTCCGACTGCTGCGTTGTGCTGAACCAGCGGGAGCCGGGATGCTCATGTCCCAGGCACAGCTTGGTTGGCTGTTTGTGAAGCAGCAGGTCAGGCTTGGGGGGAGGCTCCAGCAGTCAGCCTGAGCTGCTTTAACAGAAACAGGCTGTGCAGGGGAGGGAGAAGGAACAACAGCATTAGCTTTAGGTGCCAGAGCAGGGTAGCTAAAAGAAGAGAGGGTCTCCAACAGAGACACAGCACAGCAAAGCTGGGAAACTGACCTCTGGGTGGGAGAGCTGTGCAGCGCTTGCCATGCTCTATTTCTCTCAGGGTCTTCGTCACCTCTGGGGATGGATGAGGCAGACTGATTTGGGTGGACCACAGTTACAGGCTGTGGCAAAAGCAAGAGTGAAGGGTGTCAGAGCAGCCCAGCCTCTGAACAACTGACAGTTGACTCTGTGTCACAGCCTTGCCTTACCCAGATCGTACGCTGGGAATTGCGTGGATGTTGAGGTGGAGAATCTAGTACAACCATCCCCCAGCTGCTCGTTTGTGTGCTGGATCTGGGAGGCAGCATGTTCCTTGTCATAGGCTCTGCAAGAGATCAGGTAGGAGATGCTTAAACAGCAACGTTCATCAGAAAGACCAGTTCCCGAGGATGCCCACTGGGTTCTCCATCTGGTACCTGTGCGTCCTGTTGCCTGGGGCACTGTAGGCATGTTTCTGCTCACTCATAGATCCACCGATTCTGGGATCCCCAAATTTAATAGATGTGTGCTGAAGAGAAGCCAACAGAGATACAGAGCCTTGCACTTGGCCTTGTTGAACTTCCCCTTCCCCTTCCTGTCTTTCCATCCATCTGGTTTCCCTTTCAGGACAGGACTCAGTGTGGGAACTTGCTGTCCTTTACCTGTGTCTTGGTCCTCCCCAGAATCACGCTGTTACCTTTTCACTTGGCTTTGCAGGTGGACTCCATTCACCCTTAAACCGTGCTTGATGAGAAGCGTGGTAACAGGACTGTCCATCCCCTTTAACGGCGGGATCACATCCTGCCGGACAGACAGAAGGGATGGTGTGAATCCTGCAGCGCCTGAGGATGCAGCAAGCGTGGAAGAAAGGGTTTGCCGTGGCCCCGCAGCAGCCTGCACCTCATGCGCCGGGTGCGAGGAGCCTGATTTTCTCCCTGTTACCTCCCGCCCCCGGCGAAGCGCTCCCTGGGCTCCGAGGCGAGGACGCGGACATGGACGGGGGGGACCGTGCGCCTGCGGACCCCGGGCTCGGCGCGTCCCCG